CGCCACTCGGGAAATTAACCTGCTCGTTCTCACGTTAAACGCTTAATGAAAATTTACTGGGCACAGAAAGAGGAAAGAAAACCCAAGTGGTCGCGCAGTTCGCCTGGCTGCTGGCACCAGTGAGGAGCAGTAAAGTTGCCTAGGAGAAGGGAGGAGCGGACGAGAAGGGCTGGCCCGGGAAAAGTGGGAAAACATGGGGAAAACCACTGCCAGCCCGCCATTGTTTCCGTAGCGTTCACAGGGGTGGGGGGTGGGGTGGGGATGGGGTGGGGGAGGTTAATTAGAGAGGATCCTGTGCGTGGGAGTTGGTGCACTCCTAACAGGGCTCTTGCCGCTTACTCTACAGCACTCATTGGCAGGCTAGGAAGCCAAGCCACTGCCTGTGTGGGTGGTCCCAGAGGACAGCCCTCTGTGGTGACCAGACCGCAGTTATCAAAGCCTTCCCCTTCTTTAGGAAAAAATAATGAAGCAGAGATGGCTCAGTGGGCACAGGTGCTTACCACCAAGCCTGATGACCTGAGTTGGATCCCTGGAACCACAGAAGAGAACCAACTCCCAAAAGTTGTCCTCCTTCACACGTAGGCTGTGGCACACATGATCTCCCCAACTTCCATATGCAACAAAATAGAAAAATGCAAAATTTTTAAAAATAAATTAAGTATTTTTGGAGAACTGGGGATGTAGTCCAGTTGGTACCCTGCATGGCTCAGCATGTGTGGACTGGATCCCGCAGCATTGCCTAAAACGGGATTAGCTCTCCCAGTGCTCCAGAAGTGGAGGTAGGTGGAGGATCAGGAGTCATCCTTTGTATAACCCCACATGGTGAGTTGGGAGGCCAGCCAGGAAATACTTGTCTTAAAAAAAGAAAAGCGGGGTGTGGTGGCACACATCTTTAATCCCAGAGGCAGAGGCAGGCAGATCTCTGAGTTTAGGCCAGCCTGGTCAACAGAGGAGTTCTGGGACAGCCAGGGCTACAGAGAAAACCTGTCTCAAAAACAAAACAAACAAAAGAATTTGCAGGCCGTCACCATCACCTAGCCTTTATTTTTTTCATCTTTTTCATTGTTGACTTAGAAGAAATATGAGTGAGATGGAAAAGTACAACTCTTTAAAATACCTATCAATTTGTTCTGGAAAAGTGTAACCCTTTAAAATATTTGGGTTAGTGAGATAGCCCAGCAGGTAAGTTGGATTGCTATCAAGCCTGATGATCTGCGTTTGACCTCAGAATCTGTATGATGTAGAGTACCACATCCCTCAGGTTGACCCCTGACCCCCATATGTGTGCCACGGCACACACACTTGCTCACACACAGACAAGTATGCTTATTAAATAATGTAAAAACGTTTAAATGCCTATAAATTTGCCATGTACAGGGAACAGAGTGAGCGAGGTGTAGTGGCGTATGCTTGCAATCCCAGTTTTCCAGAGGCCATGTGTGACAAAGGATCACCACAGTCTTGAGTCTGGTCTACGTAGTGAATTCCAGGCCATCCAAGGCTCCAGCAAGACCATGTCTCAAAAAGGGGGGGAAAAAGGCTCCAACCTAGGGATGTAGCACAGTTAATTGAGTGAGTGCTTGTCTAACGTGCAGAAAGTACTGAGCCTGTGATAGCCCAGCACTTGGGAGGTGGAAGCCAGAGGTGAGGAACTGAAAATCACGCCCCATTACGTAGAAAGTTTGACACCAGTCTGGATACATGAGGCCCTGTCTGAGACAATCTCTTGTCTGGAAGGGTTGTTTGTTTGTTTGTTTGTATTAATTTCTTTTAGCTTGAAGGCCTTGCCCGTGTGAAAGGTAGTTCAGGAGAGTCATGGTCCAGTTCGATGCACTGCTGGAAATAGTTTGTTTCTGCTGATCCACACATTATTACATCACCAAGTTCTCCTGCTTCCTGGCTGCCAGGAAGACAGATGAATGCTAATAGATTTGAATCGTCTTTGCTTGGTATTCTGCTGTGGGAAGAGAGGGAGTGGAGAACGAATCACCAAAATGAGGCTCTGCCTGGTTTGCCTCTTGGCAAGGTTGCTTGTGCCATACCGCAGGGCATTTTCCCCTCTTCCGGTGTGTTGCTATAACTTCCTGCCGATGGACTCCAGATTCTGTGTGTCAACACCTTAGGTATTGCTGAAGTAGCTGGCATAGAGACAGGAATCTCTGACCTCGGTGTCACTGTTTGTTCCTGGGAGAGATGCGGCCCAACATGCCTCCAAGCCTTGGTGATGGGTAGAGAATCATGTCTTCCTACGTAGAAGTAAGCTACACTTTAATAAAAAATTTGTTCTTGGGATGGCAAAATGGCTTAGTAGGTAAAGGCACTTGCATGAACCTGGTGACCTCAGTTCAACCCCAGAACTTCTTCAAGGTGGAAGGGGAAAAGCAACTCCCGTGTGCATGACATGTGTACCGTCATGCACATACACACAATCATAATAGATAGATTTTTAAAATTTAGTTGGTTGGTTTATTTTTCTGTGAGGACCTGGCTGTCCTGGAACTTGATCTATAAACCAGGCTGGCCTCCAACTGGGTGGTGGTGGTGCATATCTTTATACCAGCACTCAGCAGGCAGAGGCAGGTGGATCTCTGTGAGTTCGAATCCAGCTTGGTCTACAGAATGAGTTCCAGGACAGCCACAGAGAAACCCTAAAACAAACAAAAAACCAGAACCTCATGTAACTCAAGTTGGCAAGAAACTTGCTGTGTAGCTGAGGATGACCTTGAACTTCTGATCTTCCCCGTCTGCCTCCTGACAGACAGCTGGGATTACCCGTGAGCCCCACCATACCCAGTTTGTGAAGGTTGGAATCAAATCCAGGTCCTCAAGCATGCTAGGCAAATACTCCGCCAAATGAGCCATGCGCCCAGCCCAGATAGCTGGTTCTTGATGTTCACATGAAGAGGAAACTTTTCATCCTTCCCCCAGTGTAGCTAGAGGAGGTCACTTGCCAGAATATGTTGCCAGCATCCCTTACAACGGTTCAGGCAGGGCACAGGTGATGCGCCTGTTATCTCCAGCATGTTTGGACCCTTGGTAAGCCTGCCTCATTAAATTATGAACCGATCACTCTTGATTTACCATTAAAAAGAACGAAAGCACCGGGATCCTGCCCCGAACGGTGATCTGCGGCCCCTGCGGCAAACGGTGCGTTCTCCTTCTCATAATGAAGAAAGGTAGGTGCGGACTCCTTTGATGACACTGCTCCACTTTGCTTGTTTACTTTGATTCTCCCACGCAGACTGTGACTCAGCAGGAGGGCTTTTAAACCAAAACAGTTAATTACCTCCTCTAACCCAGAGAAGTCGTGAAATATAAATACCAAGCGAGGGAGAGGGCAGCTTGGACCCAGCTGTACTTTGTACCAGTTGGGGAAGAGAGACACCTTCTCAGTCCTCCAAGGGCAGGGTGGAGAGAGACCAATTAACAGGTGTGCTCAGGAAGGTGGCTAGCCACCCACTCTGCTGTGTCAGTGGGCTGGACTGGAGTCCCCAAAACAGAAGGTAAGTGGGAGTGAGTCGCTCTAGGCCTCAGGCCTTCCCAAAGGAAGATGATTCAATGTGGATGGAACTGAACAGGGCCCTGACCAAGGACAGATCCTCCCCAAATGCAGTCCTGGGCACAGGGCACCTGGTCTAGAGGGACCTTAGGGTCCACCTGTGAATTCAGATCCTGTCAGCTCTTGAGCCTTCTTTCCAGTGGAGTATCCCTAAATCTCTCATGGCCAAGACGCTGCTCTGGAAGACTTTCTGTCCAGCCGCCTGACATTAAGCAGGGCTCTCCTCCCATAACTTCCTTTATATATATGGGCCATCTACTTGGGGTGTGTGTGTGTGTCTGTGTGTCTTTGTCTGTGTGTCTGTGTGTGTCTGTGTGTGTGCCAGCCACAGCACCCACACGGAAGTCAGAGCACAGCTTTCAGGAGTCCGTTTTCTCCTTCCCCTGTGGACTCTAGGAATTGAACTTAAGATAATCAGGCTTGTACATGGCAAATGCCTGTATTCTTGAAGCCATCCCATCTGACCATTTGGGCTCCTTCCTGGGGGCGGGGAGGTGTTCCTGCTGCTGCTGCTGCTGCTGCTGCTGCTGCTGCTGCTGCTGCTATTGAAATTCTTGGTTTTCAGTGGCTCCAAGCCCTTTCTCAGCTTCCCTTGCCCCTCTCGGGCTCTGTGGAAAGGGCCACCCCTACCTGCCTAGGGGGCCGCAGGTTTTGTTCCCCTGACTAAATTGTACTTCACTCCTAATCCTATGGGCCTCATCTCTAGCCATATACTGCTGGCCTGGGAATATTAAATTGCTGTAGCCACTTTGAGAATCAGCTGATGGTTCCTTAAAATGCTGAGCATACAGTTTCTATGTGACCCAGCAGTCACAAATCAAGAGAAGAAGTGTATATGAACATATAAAGAGGAGGGGTTCACAAATGTCCATAGAACATGCCCCATAACAGCCCCAAAGCAGAAAGCAACCTAAATGTTCATTAGCTGATGATAGGTAAATATGATATGCCATATCCATGACAGGCTATTGTTTGAGTGTAAAAGAGAAAGTGTTGATGGGTGACAGAACATGAGTGAATCCTGACACATAACCATAGGTGAAAGAAGCCATTACAGAAGTGTCATGTCTCTGAGTTTCAGAACAAAGCAAACACGCAGAAAGAAAAAGTACGGTGAGGGTGGGGATGGTTACATGTTGTGTGAATTTTGTCTTATTAAAGCATTACCAAGGGGCTAGAACCACAGCTCAGTGGTTAGGGACACTTGATGCTCTTGCAGAGGACCTGGATTTGGTTCCCAGCACCCACATGGTGGCCCATGATCACCCATGCTCCAATTACAGGGGATTCAATGCTGCCTTCTGGCCTCTGAGAGCACCAGACATTTATGTAGTACACATGAAATAAATCTTCAAAAGAAAACACAAACCAAAACAACAGCACCAAAAACAAGCAAACAGAAAATGAACCCACCAAAAACTCACAAATTATTGTCTACAAATTGTGTCCTACAAATAACAAAGTGAAACTTTTTATTGTGGGAATTCTCAAATATACACAAATGTTAAGAACTGTGAGGGTTTTTGTTTGTTTGTTTGTTTTTAACAAACATACAGTCATTGACCAGCTCCTCCAAATATGAACATTTTAGAAATCTTTTCAGGATTTTTTTTCTCCTTAATTTTATTACCAGAATTCTGAGCATCAGAAAATTTGGAAGATTATACAATGAATGTCAAGTATTCTCAGCTGTATTTTCCCACTAACACGTTATTCTGCCTGCCCTCCTCTGTATCAGTCTGTTCTCTTGTCTATCATCAACTCATCTTTTGAAATTTATTCCAATGTGAGTTGCAGACAGCCCACTCAGCCTCCCCTCAGTCCTACTGCATGCTTATCATCGACTAGAGATGGACACTTGTTTGTAGTTCATTCTCTATTTTTTAGGTGAAATCTGTATACATCCTTTATGTGATACACATGTAAAGCCCTGTGTCATTCACACTGAAAATATTTGGGGAACAGTGCATGCTGCAGCTACCTGGCTATGTGACGGTCAAAGGTCAACCTTCAGGAGCCAGTTCATTTCCACTGTGTGGTTTGGGGGATCGGCCTCACATCCTCAAGCTCGGCAGCAGGGCCTTTGCCTGCAGAGCTTCTCTTGCTGGCTCTGCTAGAAATGTTTTTAATTACTTGGAGACCATAAAATAAACTCTTCTCATAGAGTTTTGAATGTCATTGTTGTGGTTTATGTGTTGTATCTGTGGGTTGTAGAGTCAATTAAATCTCTGAAATGACAAATTCCAATTCCATGCTGTAAGCTTCCTGAGCCTTTTCAGTCCTTGAAATGAAAGATGGTTTGTAATTTTTTTTTGCCATAAGCCCTTGTTTTAATGTATCTTTCATGATTAACATATTAAAAGCTCTCCTGTATCAAAATCTATGGTTTCAGAGTAAATAGGGATGACATGTAGAAGGCTGTAGGATGAATCAAGGCATGAAATTTTGAGTCAGTTAAGATACTGAATGTCATCAATGTGAGGTTTTCTTTTCTCTGTTCCTTCTTTCCTTTCTTTTTTTTCTTTTAGGAAACAAACCAAGATTTCTTTTCCACACTACAACAAAAACCAATGAGCTAGAAATTCATAGGATCAAAGCAAGTCCTGTGCATATTTGAAAAGTCAGAACAAAACTCATTATTTTGTACAATTAATGCCTTATTAAATGCCAACACTGTCTCTTGCCTAATTCTTTGCAGGAATCGGGGAATATGTTTTTCGATTTGGTTACTACATCCCTCTTCGTGACCCCTGTAATGATAAATTCTGAACACTGATAAAGAAATGCAACATGGTCTCCTTATGACTACCTATTTTGTCACAGATGTTTCTGGTTTTTATTACAGATGTTTAGAAAACAGATGAAAAAGGAGGTCTTTAGGTGGAACAGTTCACACAAACTTTTTGGTTTTTTTTCTTTTCTTGACATTGACAATTTTAATATAAAGATGCTGATATCAAGGCCTTATGCTCAAAACTTGGAAGAGTCCATACCTGTGACCTCACTTTACAAGTAGATGAAATGGAAATGGGTTAAGATGGACCAATCTATAAAAGGCAGAATTTACTAGTGCTTTGGAACATAAAGCATGACATTTATATTTATGGAATGAAAATATTAATTTTATATATGTTTTTAATTACAAATGCTGCACACCTCCCCTGAGTCTAGAAGGCCCTTTCTGTTTCTTAATTACCAGATCTCAGCTTCTGGTGGAGGCGAGCTTTCCCCTGTCCTGGTAAAAGGTATACTTTTACTTCACGGTTTGGGGTAGGGCGCAGAGGGAAGGTGTTCGCTCAGATGTTAGGGAGCTGATGATGCTGTTATTTAAGGCTCGTATTTGAGTGTGTTTATACTTTGTGATTCTATAAATAAACCCGAGGGGGCTCCTGGATGTCTCGATGCTTCTTGAATCCCGTGCCCTGTCTGTCTCATCCTATCCGACAGTAGAATTGATGCCCCTCTAATCCCTGGAAGTTTGGGGCTAATGAACTGACTGCTGAGCGGCCGCCACGGAGCTTGGTCCCAAACTATACTGTACTTCACACTCGATTTATTCTCCAGATGGCGAGACTGTGCCGCCCCGCCGCGAGGGACCACCCCTTCCACTGGAGTGTAAAAGTGGACGGATGTTGTTTTCTTTACAGATCTCATCGTTCTGAGCTAGAAACTTGCGAGAATGATTAGTTATTAGCTTTAATGGGTGCCAACTGAACCAACTGCCGCAGATTTTCTCCCTTAATTTCAGAGGCCGCGGGTCTTGGGGATGGTTGATTTATCTGCTTTCTTACGTCACCGGAGCGTGTCTCCTCCCCAGGTGACAGGAATCCAGGCTCTGAAATCATAGCACGCCTTGGTTCCTGGCCCAGACACAGTCACATAGTACTGTGGCTTATGCATAAGGACAGTTTTATTAGCCTCTGGTCCACTGCACCAAATAGCCTGTGGCACGGAATATCGACCGTTGCAGGAGCTTTGGGAAGGCCACTTTCAGAACAAGGGCTTTGGAAGATTCTGGTCCGTCCCAACTTGTCTGAAACCCACGTGAAATCTGCAATCAGACATGATACAGAACACTCAATGGCAGTAAGCGAACACTTCTAAGATCTAAGGAGACTTTTCATAAAAGGCCTTGATTCTATCATTCAGCTTTCAAGCTTGTCAGATCTGAGAGGGCCACGTTCATCCCGCCATGAGGACCTATCAACAAGGCTGTTCTGTTTGCAGTGCCGTCCCTCCTCAGCCTCGATGAGACCAACTCTCCCCTATAACATTCTTTCCCCGCAAAGCACGTTCCTTTCAAAATTTCTGAAAGTCACTCTAGACACCCCACTGGGAGAGTATGTCAGGCTCCTGTGGACCTCTTATTATCCCACCTAGAGATGGAGATGGAGGGAGGAGTAGGGCCGGAGAAAAAGAAGACGTCTGAAGGGAAGGGGATGATGAAGATGAGAGGGATGGTAGGAGAAGCCAAAGGAAGACAGTGCAGAGCGTCTCTCCTCACAACTGGGCGGACAGAACTAACAGAATACACACCACTAATTGTTCTTAGAAACTGCCTTCCTCGCAACCCAGCAGATGGCTTGGGTGTGTTTACTAGCACAGTGACATATTTCACCATTAATAACAAAAAAAAATCAATCCACACACTTGTTGGTTGGTGTAAATTCAGTAAGGTTGTTGGATATTTTGGGATACATACCAGAGGGATCCGCTCTTCATTGATGTAAATTGTAGCAATCAGCAGCCTGTTAATAAGGGTGTTGTGTGGCAATATACCTCAGACACCATCCTCTCCCTTTGGAAAGGTACACTGTGATGCCAGGAAAAAGCTCTGTGTTCATTCTGAGCCAAAAAAACAAAAAGGAAAAGAAGAAAATGCTGAGCACTTGCTGCTCATTATTATAACACGAAAAGGACTAATCAGATTATGCCTAGAAACTGGAATTAGGTGCTTCATTTGCAGCCAATTTCACAAGAATTGAGTTTTACTAAGTCAGCCGGAATGTGCGGAAACCATGGCAATCTGACTTCAGATGGAAATCACAAACATGTTTGGAACACCAGCTCTGAACAAACCGTTCTCTTCAAATCCAAAGGAAATAACCAAACAGCTTAAGCGTCCGGTTCTGTTTGACACCAGAGAAGCAATTTAAGGAGTTGCCAGGGATTCTGCATCATCAAGCACACATGTTCAGTAGACATGTTGATTCAGTCTTTTCTTTTTGAAGACAGGGTCTTGCAGTGTAGACCAGGCTGGCCTAAAACTTGGTATCCTCCTCACTCAGCCTCCTGAGTGCGCCACCACACTCGGCTTCACTGCACAGTAATTTTCCCCTGCACAGTCTAGAGAATTACCTTTTGTTTTCCCAGTCAGTGTTTCAGTGGACCCTCTGCAAGGCTGCCCTGCTGTAGGGTGAGAATCCAAAAGTTGGAATGTTTGCAAACCCAGACTATCCAGACTTTGTAACTGTCCAGGCTGTGTGCATGCAGCATGACCTGGTTTTTAGGTTCTCTGAGGCTGTGGATCTGAAAACAGTCACTACTAAAAGTAGAGGAACCCCTCTTTCAAACCCTGATGTTGGGCTAACTCCTATGCTTGGTCATCAGTACATCCTCCTTAGTTTCTGCAGCAACAGTGCATAGCATGTGGCTAAGTGGAATCTGCAGTGTGAAATAACCAGTTTGGGTAGGAGTGGGTGCTGGAGAGGTGGCTTAGGGGTTAAGAGCTCATATTTCTCTTGTAGAGGGCTTGAGTTTGATTCCCCGTACCTTCATCAAGTGTGGCTCACAACCACCTTCAAGGGAGTCTGATACCTCTGACCTCTTTGGGCACCTGCACTTGTGTGTACATACTTCCTACAACACACATATACATAATTAAAGACAAATCTAAAAAGTTAAATAATGACATCGTGTGGACTAAAGTCATTATTGACTGCTTCATCTCGTGTGCTTTCTCTTGTTTTTGCCTAAATTCAGCCTAATTATTCACAGCAAACACTCAGTAAATCAAGTTTGCACAGAGACATCCTAAACTGATTCTGAGTGCTGTTTCCGTGTGTCCTAATAACTCTAAGCTAGTCTTTCATCACACTGTTTAATTCAGGCCCCAACTGGAAGCCTTCCTGATTTCCATTCTTACTTATGTCTGGTTTAAATCAACTGTCTTAGGTTGTGTCTTTGACGAGGTTAGACTTCATATTGGCTTAAATGATCCGACCCTTCTGTTGTTGTTTGTTTTAAATAGGCTCTCACCATGTAACTCTGCTAGCATGGAGCTTGCTATGTGCACCAAGCTGATCTCGAACTCAGTGACCTGCTTGCCTCTGTCTCCTGAGTGCTAGAGCTGAAAGCGTGCTTACTACTCCCAGCAAATAATTCATTGTCATCTGTGCTTTGGGGGCTTTTTTCTCAGATATGTGTTGTTGTTCAAATGGATGAATATTGTTAGTTTTTTTCAAAGATTTATATAATTTCATTTTATGTGCTTGAATGTTGTATATGTCCACATATATGTGCACCATGTTTGTGACTAGTGCCCATGGAGGCCAGCAGACAGTGTCACTCTCCTGGAGCTGGAGTTCCAGACAGTTGTGAGCCACCATGTGGATGCTGGAACTAAATCTGGGTCCTCTGGAAGAGTAGTGAGTGCTCTTAACCACCGAGCCAGACTTCCAGGTCCAAGACTCTTTAATGCATTCGTCAGTAGTTAGATGCTTTAAAGTTTTATTAGTGTAATAAAAATTCTTCCCAAATGAAACTACCTTTGATAAGTGTTCCTTCTGACAGTGAGAATTTGTTGAGGGCTGTTGGCAAGATGGAGGACTTTATTTTTGAAACTAGAATTGGCAGTAAATAATGCCCCTAAGAGCTTCCTTTCTCTCAGCACCCCCCCCCTTTAGTGTTCACTCTTCACTCGCCCATCCCCAGTCTTCACCTCCAACTCAAAGCTAATACATACCATATTTGGTCTCATATAGTTTTTCTTGGGATAATTCAAATGTGACTTTCAGCTTTTTATAACTGCAGCAAAGACTATCAAATCAAAGAAAACAGTCTATTTGTCAAGCACTCCATGAAGGGATTTCTTGGTGATATTACTGTTTCCATCTGAATTAGGGGAGCTTCTCATGAAGTACTGAATGTCAGATTCCTGTGAACCCCTTCCTAATTGAATGTCAAGATTCAGCTTGGCTACAAAAAATTTTAAAAAAGATGAATTAAAAAAAAAAAGTGATACCTGGGGAGCAGAAGAGCAAATGCTTGCCTTTCCTCTAATGTGACCATGCCGACAGGTGACATTGCCACAGTTCCCATGGCATCTAGTTTCTAAGACTTATTAAATGAAGAAATGTGGGGAAAGACTTGGAACCATACTTAGTGCACACTTAATGCCCAATCAGTGAATTATTTTACCTCCTCAATTGGAAAGCACACTAACGAACAAATTACTCTACCATTCAGAGGTACACCAGCCAGAATCCACGATGGTATAATCCCCATTGTGTTCCAGCAGTCTTGAATGATGTGTAGAAATCATTGGCTCCCCTATGAGTTTGGATGATTCATTTCCAATATCATTTTGTGGGCAGAAAATACATTATTCTAATGACAGTGTTCATCAGTGTCCATCACTTAATGTTAAGAATAAATTTAGGAGACATATTTTCTCAATATTTACAGGACGAAGCTCGATTAAGAATAGTAAGAACTCTCGAAGACTTTGACCTGGGTCCAACAGAGAAGTGTGTGAGAATCAACTCGGTGTCTAGTGGTCTAGCTGAAGCTGACCTAGAGACAATTCTGCAGGCCCGGGTTCTTCCCTCTAGTATGATGCTACCAAAGGTGGAAGGTCCTGAAGAAATCCAGTGGGTAAGTAATAGTGCTTGGCTCTGCAGCTGAAGGCAGGCTGAGGAGTCAGATCCCAGGAGAGGGTATGGATGGCATTGGTTTAGAAATGCACACACGTAGCTCACCCAATAGCAGTTGCTTGTCGTGTGTCAGGTCCTGGATTCAGTCAGTACCTTAGAAAAGAGAGAGACAGGAAGAGAAGAGGAGAAAATGGGGCTAGTTGTAGCTCACTTGGTAGAGTGCTTGCCTGGCATGCACAAGGCCCTGGTTTGATGCCCCAGCATCACATAATACTGGGTGTGGTGACAAATGCATTTAACCCCAGCACTCAGGAGATAGAGACAGGAAGATCAGAAGTTCAAGGTCATCCTGAAGTACATAGCACATTTGAGGCCAGCCTGGGCTACATGAGATCCTGACTCAAGAAAGGAGAGAAGAAGGAATTATAAAAAGCGAGTGATACAGTCAATCATTTCCTTCCCTAAGAATCTAGCTTTCCCCAACATGTTTCCCAAAAGAGCTCTCCTTTGGACACTGCTTTTGCTCTCTGATTGGACTTGTGGTCAGAGCAGCTGCCTCGGTAGTCCTCACACGTCAGGCCCTGGACACTAACTTGCCTGAGCATCCACCCTGCCACCGGGAAGCCAGGGCTTGTACTCGGGAGAGCCATGACGTGGATGGTTGTGGTTGAGGCTCTCCTGGAGCCATCACACACAGTGAGGAACTCTAGCTGCATAGAGCAAAGAGCCAAAGCAGAAGAAGAAAAGGTCACTCCTGAGGGCACCTGGAGGAAGAGACAGGAAGCTTTTAACCCGTGGTTTTAATTAGCTCCGATATTGTTTCCGGAGCAGCTCTCTGGTGCGCCCTTTTTTAAATTGCTGTCAGGGTGTGTTTGCATTTCATGACAGACTTCTCAGCCAATAAAAGCCTCAAATGTAAAGTGGTTGGCATGTCAAATTACTTAAGAAAACTTTGAAATGGGCCCAATTATGCTATGATTGTTTTAATTGTGAGATTTGGGGAGGGGAATTGAATAGGGAGTTACTATTATTCCTCAAGTCCCTTGAATAAAATGCCGTTTTATTATACTCCTTGGAGCAGAACCTCTGGGAGTAGCTAGACTGATGGATGGTGGAGGCATTCAAAGCCACGTCTCATATTATCTTGAGGGCTGTGGATCTAGCCATAGCAATACCCTGAGTAGCTGTCATACCTGATAAAACTGCTCACTTAAAAAATTAATGTATTTATTTTTACTTCATAATCATTGGTGTTCTGCCTGCATGTATGTCTGTATGAAGGTGTTGGACCCCCTGAAGTTACAGACAGTTGTGAGCTGCCATGTAGGTGCTGGGAATTGAACCCAGATCTTCTGGCAGAGCAGCCAGTGCTCTTAACCACTGAGCCATCTCTCCAGCCCCAACTGCTCACTTTTCTAACTCATCTGAATATGCTGGATCTTTGTTGTCAACACATGGGTCACCTGCCACATGTGGCTACTGAGCATTTGAAATGCGGCCTGTGCAAATTGAGGTGTGCTTATAATGAGTAAAATGTACACATGCCTGAGTTTATAGAGTTGATACACTTTCCAAGTGGAGAGAGAAAAATGGAAAATAGCTCAGTTTTTATATTGATTCCATATTACAGTGATAATATTTGCAATCTATTAGTTGAATACAAGAGATGAGAAGTCATCTGTCTTCTCCACTTTACCCTTTGACTGTAGCTACTAGAAGATTGAAAATTGTTATACATGTAGATGCCATGGTATTTGTGTTGACAGCTCTGCATTGGAGCAGTCTCAAAGATCTGTCATCGAGGGCTTGTGTTTGCTTAGTAAACCAGAGATCTCACCAATGTTAGCCTTAGTTACTTAGAGAGACAGGGGTGTAGAGAGTATTGATGTCCCGAGGGCTCCGACCCCATACAGATAAGTATTAAGCTGATGGAGGACTCTGAAGTCCCTCTTCCCCAATGGTTCCATCGTTAATGCTTATTAACACCAGCATCACCATTCAGTTAAGATGGGGGTGATCTCCCCAACCTTGAGCTACAGCTTCCTGTCGCTGTTTCAAATCCTTGGGTGTGAGGGACACTCTGAAACTGAAATAGGACTTGTAGTTAACAGAAGTCTTTGGGGCTGTTTATTTTCCTCTCCGTTTGTATGTATGCGGAGCGTAAAACCCCAAGCCTGATGCACAACTGAAAGCCGGGCTTGCTTGTTTTCTTTTGTGTGAGAATCGCCTGCTCGCCTTTTGTCGTTAGTGTGGGCTCTTGTCTGACTGGCACGGCTTATTGGGCTGTAACAAGCGTAACTCTGCCTCTTTTGTCGTGGGACAATTCTCCCACAAATCCCAACAGTGTGCATTCTTCCAGCACGCTATTGGGTGTGCACTGGAATTGAAAGAATTGCTGAGCCCTGCTACTTCATCTCCTCCCCAATCTCTTTGTAATTTTCCCCCTTCTTTTCCTCACGCCCCCCTCCGCAGTCCCCTCCACCTCGATGAAATGAACACTTTACCAGGCCGGAAACATTTAATCGTCTCCTTTTGAAAAAAATTAATTGAAACTTCTCCACTAGTTACCTTTTGTGTTAGCACTTAATGCAATTTTTTAGGAAAGAAGGGGATGGGGAAGGGGGAGGGGCTAGCATATCTAATTTTTAAATGCCCCTATTGGCTATAAAGCAAAAGGCATTGGAGGTTTTGTTCATTAAGAACGGGGGATATCTTGTAAAAGATTTACCTAGTTGTAAACTTTACGATTTTTGTAGTTATAATGACTATCACAGAGAATGGTACAAGTAGCCTTGGGAGTTTTCTTTCTTTCCTTCTTTCTCCTTCCTCTTCTCCTTCCTCTTCTCCTTCTCCTTCTCCTTCTCCTTCTCCTTCTCCTTCTCCTTCTCCTTCTCCTTCTTCTTCTTGGAAAGAAAATCCATAGCTTTGTATTCAAGCCACCAACATTTCACTGCTTGTTTTCAGGTTTCATTGTGACATAAACTATGTTTTATTTTCCCTGCATCTAGTACCATACAGGCTGCCCATCTCTTCGCCCTCCTCTTCACCCTGGCTGTTGTGGTGGGTTATTCCTTCCCGGAAAGTTACTGAGGAGGTGATGCTGATGCCGTCTGAGGGAGGGCAGCGAACGACGGGAATCATTCTTCATTACTGAAAGCTGTGATTTATTTTAGCCTAATTGTAAAGTTACTGCAAATCGCTCAAAAGCTTTTTAAAGATCCCAGTGATTAGGTTTTTTTTAGGGGGGGCGCACAGGCGAGGAGGGGGCAGGTAAAGGGGAAATAACACCTTTAATCCTGCCTCTGGTAAATAGGCTGCCAGCTTTTAAAATGAGTTTCCTTTCTATTAGTGAGAATATTATGCTAAGCCTGAAGCATTAGTTTTTATGTTGCCATGGCAGCCTTACTCCTGCAGGGTGGTGACCTGTGATGATTACAGTACAAAGCTTACAGGGTCTTGAAACCCCCTTTGAAGATGAAAAGTCTTTGATGGTTTATATTTATGCAAATCTCTTAGATATGATTTACCCAACTGAGACTGAATGGAGAGATGATTAAAATTCCCTTTTCCTTTGATATCCATTAATGGCTGAATATTCCTTAAATTTACATGGATATATATGTTTTCAACTTTATTTACAAAAATATCTTTATTATACCTGTGTTTCTTTTCTTTTTTTTTTTTTAATCTTCCCACATCTTATTAGATCTAGATAGACATAATAGATTTACAATTTAGATTGTGGGGCTCCCCCCCTTTTTTGAAACGGGGGGTGTGGGGGATCTGCGAGAGCTTTTGTATGTTTCCAGATGATAGATTTTGGAATTTGGGCTACCCCACTGGCAGCACAGAGCTAGCTGTGAACTGGTCTCATGGAAAAAATTGGCAAGCTTTGGTCTTCAAAGAATTAAACTTCCTTTTTAAGGTCTTCCTAGGTAAGCTTAAAAAAAAATTATGAAGAAAACCCTCCCGAACAAAGGGTAATGGCACTATAACGAATAATATAGATTCTACATATGTGGAAGGGAGCCGGACAGCTGCGCGTGTGTCGGCGTTGGGTTCGAAACAAAACGAGAGGGGCAGGTAGAGAGCCCTGCTTTGTTCTGAACGCCCGCATTTGCATTTGAGGAGAAGAGAGGGTGAGGGGGCTGAGTAAATATGTTTGCCAGGGAAACATTTAAACCTGGGAATCGCTCCTCCCTTTCAACTCCTAGGCCTCAAACTATTTCCTTCGGAGGAAAACGCACTGTGGTGTTTGAGGTTTCACTCTGGATGGGGACTCTGCTGCCTTTAGTTCCGCTGCTTTTCCCTTCTAACCCCCCCATTGTGTGGATGGGGGGCTGGGGTGTCACTTCCTCGGGTCAGAGACTTCAGCCCCTGCTCCTGTGCCTGCATTTCAGGGGTTGAACTTAAGTTTTTGTCGCTAATCACCTATGACACTTCTGATTTTAGTTTTCAGACAAATTTTCATTCCACTTAAAAGGCCGAAAACTTGAACAACCAATGAATTTAATCCCCTTTGTGGAAACTGCAATGGGTTTGCTCAATTTTAAGGTAAGAAAGCCATAATGTGGTTATGTAAGTTAGCATTTTATTTAATTACCTAAAGAGAACTTGTGGATTTTTTTTTTTATTTGAGCATCTACTTAAAAAAGTTTTTTAAAGAAAGATTTATAAACAAAGTAAGATATTTAAACCCTGTCTTATCCATCCCACTCTAAAATATATTATCTTGGATTGTTAATATCTTGGAAGACAAAGAAACTAATTTAAAAAGAAGGCCTTCTCAGTCTCAAATATCTAAACAAAACATTTATATGTTCCTGGAGTATACATAAATATAAAATCACAGAATAAATATATGCTTTGAATTAGTACATGTATAGATTAAATGTACATGGAAATTTCATTTTGTCACCTTTATGAATTAAATTTGAATTGTTTTTCCTACAAATTGTTTTTCATCTGCAAATGGCCTGGCTTGTGTCTGTGTTACTATTATCTGTAATCCCTAGCAGATAAGATTATTGTTTATAGTTCAAATATATAAATAATTTATAGTCTCTTGTTTCAATTTGTCAGTTTCAAACGTAAAGTGTTTTCCAACACACATTTAAAAAGATTAGCTGAGCCAATATTCAGCCACTGTGTGGCTGTGTGGCTGCATCAAACTATCTGCCTTACCAGATTCATAGCCAGCTCGTTTGTTCCCCCTTGATCCATTGGCCTTTATACCATTTCCCAGAATGTGTCTCCCATTCCACCTGACCTTTGAATAACTGTCTAGCACCCCCTGTAACCTCTTCTCAAACTTTCTAGTCCTTGGTATTTTTGTATTTTGTTTTATTCTCTTCCACTCCAGAGGGCAAGAGGGAAAAAAAATCACTAAAAAAAGTTAGGTGACCTGAGATACAGAACGTACAAGCAAATGCTCAGGGGAGCTTTACAGAGCTGGAGGACTGTGCAGGAGGGCCAAGTGCAAATTCTTGAGGCTCCTTCAAGCCTGTCTCGTGACTAACTCCTTTATACAGATAACCACAAAGTGCTCCAGCCCACCCTAGCACCCCTGAACATAAACAAGCACATCCCTGAGCTGGAATCAGGCACATACAGTGATTTAATTTTAAAGCACTATTTTGCCATTTTATTCAATAATGTATTTAGGAGCTCCCATAATGCTTGAAATTAGCCAACAGTATCCCCACCACTTCCTTCATTCTGTTCCTATCCACACAAATATTAGCACATTATAGCCCCAAGACTCACAGTTACGTCTACAGCAAACGTGATTCGGCTTTCATTTGGACATGTCAGAGTTGCTTTGTTCACACGCCCTGGGTGACTCGTAACATTTTTATTTCCCCTTCGAAGTTGTAGGTCTTGCACTGCCTGACTTTAAGCCTAAAACCATTTTACTTGATGCTAATGCAAATAATCCAATTAGTTTGATTTCAAAAATTCTTTCCTCCTCTCCTGCGGCTTTATGTTTATTACTTAAGAGTCTCTTAAAGCAAAAACAAATTCTGAAGAAACATAAATTACTTATAAAAGAAGCTAAAAAGAAGTTCACCCAAGTTCTAGAAAATTGAGTGGCCTCTAATTTGAGCATTATAGCTATATGATAACTAATGATGGCGATATGAATGTAAACACCAGGCAAAGCAAATGTGTACGAGGTACTTATCTGAAGAACATTAAATGCTTTGGGGAAGGGCTTAGTTTATTTCAGCCAAAGCGTATTAGCATCTTTCCTATCACTAATGCACTGGCTCCCAGCCTCTGAGACTCTTTTCTGCTGTTTTCCAGGCAGTGTGTGAAGAGGCACTGAAGACTGGGCCTCAAGTGGGTCTTCTCCTGGATGCGGTCGTTTTTGGAGGAGAAGATTTTAGAGCCAGCATAGGTGTCAAAGATCTCTCTGTCTCTCTGTCTGTCTCTGTCTGTCTGTCTCTGTCTGTCTGTCTGTCTGTCTGTCTCTCTCTCTCTCTCTCTCTCTCTCTGTGTCTCTCTCTCTTCCTCTCCCTCTCCCAACCCCTCACCCTCACCCTATGTGTGTGTGTGTGTATGTGTGTAATTTTTTCTTTGCCCCCTCACAAAGGGACATTTACATAACAATGCATATTTTCCAGCCCTGACCATGGCTTTTCGTGACAACTAACTGACCACTACTTCCTGATAATTTCGGGCTCCATTTCCTGCTTTCAGAGTCCTGAATTATTACTTCTGCTCATTTATAAAATAACTAATAAAGCCTCTTGAGCCTTAGGCATGCTCAAGAACATACAGGGTCTGCTTGGCTTCTACTAACATACTACATAAACAGCCTGATGCTGGCTTAAATATTTTGTCCTCACATCAGTCCAAGACCTGGGCCTCCAAACAGAATGTTAGAGGGCTATAAGATTGGCCTCAGTACAGTGTTTTCTCCATTAAATGTAGTAGGCAATTATTTTTTTAGATAGATTATAAATTTGCCTTAGCATACGTTTCAGAACATTGATTGTTAGAAACCCACAGGCCTGCCGATACCCGCTGATGTGCTCGCTCCCCTGAGCGCTGCACTGATCTGGGTGCTCCTATGGTTGGAGACTGAATGCCAAGGTCACAGAAAGTATTTTCAGACCCACACCCCAGGGGTCTGGGGACACTTTTCCTACTATTATAGCCCAAGTTTAAGCAGTGATACACCCCCTTCCCTCAGGGTGAAAAAGAAAATTTTATTTTGATGTGCGTCTTCTCAGGAGACTTTTAGGTGTCCCACAGCTAAGGTACTTTTCTGCCTCTCCCAAAATGAGAGTCTTTCTCCTTTCTCAAGTACCCAGCCAAACCCCAGAGCACAGGCTCAGGATGTCTTTGAGGATAGATGTGACAAGACAGCACATGCCTTTCCTAAGAAGTGAACCATCTCCCCACACACACAGCCTCCTGGACACTTGTTGTAATGCTGTCTTTGGACTGACACTCTCCAAGTGATAACCTAAAAGAGGAATTCAGGCCGCTGTGACCCCACTTCTTTCTCCTCCTGGAACAGAGGGGGGGCCTTTCCCTGATGCATGGACAAGCGATTATATTGAAAAGATGTGCCAGTTCACTAGATATACATGCCATTCAACATTTCTTCCCCATACACCTGTCTTCCTGTGTGTTTGAATAGTTGCTTTTCTGGGGTGCAGTTCCCAGGGAGACATGTATGTCCTTACAACCTGGTCTCTGTAGTGTGTGTCTGGTTAAAGTCTCACTTTTCTGTGCACACCCCACTTACAGGCGCGACAAGCAGCAAGGACGCCCAGGACATCCTCTATGCCCGACAGAAGATTGTCGTCACAGCCAAGGCCTTTGGCCTACAAGCCATAGATCTTGTATACATTGATTTCCGGGATGAAGATGGACTTCTCAAACAGTCAAGAGAAGCCGCCGCCATGGGCTTCACTGGTACGATTCCTGGTGCTGTCTTAAAAAGTGTTGTGCATTAGCAGGCATCCCAGAAAAGAAGACGTCTGCTCCCCCAGGACCTGTAACGTGAGACAGCCGCAGACAGCAGAAGGCACATGATTATTACCTGGGTTGCTGGGTGGTTTTCTCTCTCTCTTCTTTTTTCTGTCTCTGCAAATTATAAAACATAACACTTTTTTGAATTTTTTTCTTTACATTTGTTACTTTTTTTCTGTCTTATTAAGAATTTCAGTATATTTTGAGCTGACCCCAGGCAAGGGATAAGGGATAATGGGAGATTTTTAGAGTGAATAACTGTCATAATTTAGGTTGATGAAATATAAGAAAATGTCCCTAAAATAGTTAAAGTATTAATTCATTTTTTAATTGATGATACTGCCTATGGTCTAACTTTTACTCATAACTATTTTTTTAATTATTTGGCCACTTAAAGCCCCTCTCCCCTTCTGTGTCTCCAGTAAGTGTCTGTGTACTTGCCGACACCTGTGTACTGACTGGCACTGGGGCCATGACTCCCTCACAGGCCTGTGTGGGGTGCAGGCAGGCAGCTGACAGCCATCAATGTGCTCATCACTCCTGTCCCCATGAGTCCAGGGAACAACTGAAAACCATGTTTTGCAACAGAACTCTGTCTTTTGAAAACCTTAATAGACGCTTACACATAAATAACCCTGTGCAGTTGCATAGAATGTGTACATGATTGCACATACACACACACACACACACACAGAGAGAGAGAGAGAGAGAGAGAGAGAGAGAGAGAGAGAGAGAGAGAGAGAGAGAATACTCTTGTTTATCTATATGGTGAAAGTGCTAGGATTGATAGCTATAAATACACCCAGCCATGAGGAGGAGGAAAGGAGGGATGGAAGGAGAGAAGGATGTTATCCCTTTTTAAAAATATTTTGATACTATACCTCGACATAATTTAACTGAAAGTCTCATAAAGTACCTTGAAATGAAAAAGGTATGTTAGCAGAGGATGGCTTATCCTGAAACAAATGGAAAGGCTGAAGCAACAGTACAGTAATCTTAGAATGAAATGACCCTGTATATAGCAGAGCTCTAAAATAAACCCGAGTGCCTACGTTTTTAAGCTTAAAAACATATGATCCCATGCATAGAAATGTTGTTCAATGATTTGAACTATTACTAGTTTCTCCTGATATTTAACAGGTACTGAGAGAGAAAGGAATCTCCTGCTGATCAGTGCATGGGGCATGCCTGACTTTCCTTCTTCCAGTGGCCAGTTAGGATGTGGCCCAAATGGAAAAGCTGGAAGAAAACTCCATGAAATCTATCTAATAGACCCTGATGTTGTTGGCCTATAACATGTGGCATTGGCTGCCAGGCAGCCAGATGTTGCTCTGAAGTGGGAACTAATTCAATAGGAAAGAGCTCCCAGGCCTCAGCCACCAGCCCTTCATGTTCTTGGGTTGATGTTTTTCCAGCTTCCTCTGGGGCTCAAAGGTTTCTCAAGATACAGAACTGAATTAAATTGGTCCCCAATTCAATCTCAAAGGACAAGCCATTTCAAATCCGGTTTAAATGTCTAGACTGTGCCCGGCTCAGCACGAAGAACTCATGAACCTGGCACTATTGTTTCTGCCCAACGGGGAGCATTGAGTCACAGGAAGATGGAGGCCAGGGTACGGGGAGGTACCGAGGGCACAGTGCCCATTGTACATCCAAGTGACAGAAGCTGGGGGCTGGGGGCCACACGCCATCCATACTTACTGATTTTGAGAGAAAAGGTCTTTGTTGCCACAATTTTATTTCTTCATACTAATAAAAGGTGGTCAAAAGAGACTATGTATAGCATCTTTTTAACCCATGCTCTCCCTGAATATTTTATGCTGTTCATTATCTTAGGGTACTAGTTTTTTAGAATTCAATTGTGATACCTTAAGCCTTGTTATAAGAAAGGGAAAGAGGAACTAGAAGATGAAAGGGAGGGAGGGGGAGAAGACAAAATATTGTTACCAAGTGTACAATACTTGGCTGAAGCAGGTGGTCAAAGGGCTTAAAAATCAATGAAAGTGTGCGTTACTTGTAACACCGATAGAGGCTGGGTTGACTATGCTTCAAAACAAAAATTTAAATGCGTATGTACACATATTTAGTTTTATTTTGTGAGAATATAATATAATTATATCATTTCTTCCAAAAAGAGTTATCATCACACAAAACAGTGGGCTATAGTTTTGGGGGTTTATTTATTTATTTACTTTGATTTTTGTTTTTTTTTGTTTTTGCCATCATTACTGCATGGGGTCCCCACCCACACTGACTGATCTAAAATCAATCCTTTGACAGTGTACATAGTCATTAACTTTAGGATTTTTTTAAAATAATAGAAAGACACCCAAACTAAAACTCGGGAGAAAGCTTTTCCCATTCCTTCAGCCATTACAGTTACTACGGTACTACACGCTGCGAGGCAAGATTATAAATATGAAAAGCAATATAGGTTTCCTTTTTTTCTTTCCTTTTTTTTTTCTTTTGCACTCTTTTGTAGAAGACAGAAATGACACCATCACACGGTTACCGAAAAGGCTTGGCAGGTATTGATTTAAAGCAAGATGTATCAAGTGGTCCTGTAAAAAGGATCTCACGGTCATAAATTTTAATGCCGTCCAATTTTGCACCCTCTCGGTAACTTGTCAATAACGAGCCTTCTGGATAAAATATTTTCTTGGTTCCCACACGGCAGCAAAGCCTGTTACACAGTCGTTGGAATGTATATAGTGACAAAAGAGCCCTTGGCATGCGAGGATGCATAGATTTAAAAAACCCAACATACATCTTAATAGTGGCCTCTTCCTAAAACGTGGGTACTTCAGAGCTGTTGGGGATTTCACAAGAATCGAGCTAGCTAGTTATGTCTCCTCCTCACACTACAGTGCCTGTACCAAAAGTTTCCGTGAAATCCGCCTTTTTGCACAGCAGTGTAAATTATGTACATAAATTATAAAATCCAGGGCTAACCATTAGGAAATGACTATTGGGTACTGACAAGCTTTTTAAATAATATTATTACAACTATTAAATAAATTATGTGGAATTAATACCTACTATTTGAAAAGAGTTCACATTTGTAGCTCTTACTATTTGTCTCCAAAAATTAGTCTTCAAATAGTTTAAAGTGTCTTTCTTTATGTAGATTCCTGACATTTTCCTGTTACGCTGACAGGCAGGAATGGAATGATAATACAGAATGTCTTAAATATGCCAGGGTCTAAAAAATATCTATTCACCTAAACTTTTCTTGAAACACTACAAAAAAAATCCCTATTTTACTATTTTTACAAACATTGTTCCTTTATCTATTCAACAGAATAAGAATAGTAACAGAAACTGGTATTTTACAAAACATCTGGGCTGTAATTTGTAGTTGTTAAATATTGAAACAACTGTTTCAAAAGCAAAGCAAATTTATGTAGCAACAAATATAGTTAGCAGCCATTAAGTGTATATCAGTTTTAAAGAGGCAATTTATGTTCATAACTTTATCATGTAATGTAATATAATCTCATCATTGTGACATTAAATTATATTGCATTTTATTAATGGCCCAATTAAATACCATACTTCCTCAATTGTTAAATTTTTTTTTATTAACAGTGTTATAATTATATAGAATCCTTTAAGGTCTGTGTATAGATGATGCTTTTATTTAAAATTCTTAAACTTCAAAAAGAATCAAAGAATTTTTTGAAAGTATTTCTGCATAGTTACGATTTCTTGTAGTTTGAGCACAAACCAACTCTCATACTATAACAAAAAAAGGGAAGATCTGAATATATTTTTGGATAGATAAATTTTCTATAATATAAATTGTATTTAATAATTTTTAAATAAAATAATTTAGATGCCACAGTATTCAAATCTGCCTTTTATTTTATAACTCTAGACATATTTTCATTGAAATATGCATGTTAAAATGACATGCTCAAAATAAATTAAATTAAATATATCATCATAAGATAGTGTTTGGTATTAATATGGTCATAACATCTGTAGAGGGCTTAACAATTGACATGTCATTGGTATAAGAACTATAGGAAGCAACACAATCCTCCCAAACAAGCAGAAGACAGCTTATACAATTTGAGAGAATTCTCATTTAATTTCATTCTACCTTTAACTCAAAATAATGGATAATTTACAGACATTCTCCAGTTAAAATCCCAGGCAAAGTAGTTATTCAATAAGCTGCCTTGTCCAGCCACCTGTAACTGAAAATGAGAGATTTTCTACTCTGAAGTGGTACTTCTAGGAATCTAGACTATGGTTATTCCCGTACTTGTACTTGTTCTTAGGTGATTTTCTGGAAAAGCCTGTCTGATTTGGGGTTCTATTTTGTGCTGTTTACTTCTTCAGCACCCACTCTGTGAGGCACCCAGGGATGTACCCAGCTGGACGCACTTGGTTTGTGTGTGGTGTCCATCCAGGAGCCTCCAGTGCATTACTCTCCTTGCAGGTAAACAGGTGATCCACCCTAACCAGATCGCTGTGGTACAGGAGCAATTTACTCCGACCCTGGAAAAAATTCAATGGGCTGAAGAACTGATCACCGCCTTCAAAGAGCACCAGCAGCTGGGAAAGGTAAATGTTTTGTCAATGCCTCAGTGATGCTGGGGTTTAAAATACTATGGGCAAGGATGAGAAAAAGTAATAGCCTTTGAATGCTTAAGGAAAACTCATTGCATTTGGCAGAAGAAATGGGAAATGTGAAATGGAAATAAGATTTATTACAGAGAAAATCCCTGAAGGTAGATACCCATCCTTTCCCTAAATAGCTCACTAATCAGTTCCCCTCTCTCATTGTACCTCTTCTGTAAGCTGTGTTGGCAGCCTTGGAAAAAGTAAGTCTTGCTAGTTCCTCCTGTGAAGTCTTCAAAGCAGCGCTTGTATGAAAATAATTTCAGATCATAGTGAGCATGCATCATAACGAAATAAACACAGTTTACCACATGGTTCTTGTAGAGAAAAGAAATAAATTTCAAGTTATTTTAATTGGGGAGGGGAATTAGAAAAAAAAAAGGTACTAACGTCTCCAGTTTAGTCATTTAGGAGTGGGAGGTTGTAGATGGATTTGTACCGATTTCTGGACCTGAGATTTGGAAAGAATGGAGGGCAAATTAACACTGAGTACGGTTGTTCTAATTTAGTGCTTCATTGAGCCTGGCGTTTCCCGCTCTGTGGGTTTCCGCTATGTAAATATTGCGGTGGTAATGCACAATCTGTCTCCACTTTGTGCCAGTAACACTTAAATTAGGTGTCGCCCGAAGGAAGATTTTACGCTACTTGCGGCATTGTCAGTTAATTATCTTAAAGGTTATTTGCAGTAATACCGTTTGCCTCTTTTTCAGAGGGGTGGGGGAAAGTTGCATTTATAAATCGAACCCAGAGATAATCTCTCACCTTAGCCCATGCCTTCCCGAAGGAATGGAGTTGTCGTGCCTTCTATGCAGAATTACTTAGGAAAGAAAGACTGCCGAAAGCTTATTAAAGTCCTCAGTGTTAAATACTCAACGCTTGTGAAAATGAACAAATCAATAAAAAGACAGCAGAGAAGAGCTGGTTTTCAATGGTAGACCTGTGACAATCACGTGAGAAATGTCCTTCGCACGTTCCCTGTTATGAAGGACACCTGAAAATCTCAAGACTTGTACAAGTGGGTAACAATACTAAGTGGGTCGTTGCTATCGATGTCAGCCTTCCACCATGAACAGGCATATAAGTCACCTTCCCCCAACACACACGCACACAGACTGATGTTTGTACAGATTCACACTTAATACACAAAGCCAGAAGATCTACAGGGGAACACAGGACCTTACATTTGGATGTGAAACCAATTTTATGATAAATAGCATTGTTTTTTCATATCATGTCAGTGGTGGCCATCAAAAATATTGTGCACTTCACAAAAAATAATTTTAAGTTGGCATTGTATTTTATTTCTGTTTATATGTCTCAACCCAAAATGAAGCTTGCCTATAAATAAACATATTTACATAGAAAGAAAAGCTGTGCAATCTTTCATTGACACACACAAACGATTCCATCTATCTCCCTCCCCCACACCTGCATGCTCACACGCACACGCGCACACACACGCACACACGCACACATGCACTCACACACGCACATGCGCGCGTGCACACACACACACACGCACATGCGCGCGCACACACACGCGCGCGCGCACACACACATGCACACACACACACACACACACACACACGCCTTTTCCCTCCTTTCTGCCTTATGCCAGCTGACAGTGTGCAAGCACCAAGCACTTATTTTAATAGGAAACGGAGGCAGGATGTGCTCCCTTAAGATGGCAGACAGTCCAATGTGGACTGGTTCTGCCTTGATGAACCAGGCACACTGTTTTACCTGAACCCTGCTGAAGGCAGATACCTGGCCTTATAAGCAGATAGGAAAGGTTATCCTCCATTTCACCAGCTCCCAAACAAAAGTCAGACCAGAAACACTCCTGTCCTGCCATTTAAGTTCCCGAATGGAGACTACAATCCCTCCCTTTCCATTATATCTTGAAAATGTTATTCCTTAGGGAAAATTGCCCAAGACTTTGATAATAGCGATGTAAATGTTAAGTTCTGGGCTTTTTTCTTTTCTTCTCTAAATAAGAAGTGGCCCTCTTGTTGGGGCGTAATTGGGGCATAAGCTTTCACAACAGTGTGGCAGGCCAGCTTTTCTTAACACAGAACCATAGAAATTGGAGCAGAGGGCATTACCTATTAGGTCATTTCTTCCCTGTCCACTTCGTGGAGGTTTGTTTCCTACAGCAAATGGCCCTGGTGCTTTTTGTCCAGCGAGGTTTAAATGACTCCAGTAATGGAGCCTCCAGTAGGGACATATGGTTATTTTATCCAGTTAGCTGATTTTTTCACTGCCTGTAAACTGGCTGGCCTCAGACACGGGGACTGCAGGTAGGTGCCTCTGGATCTTGACGGGTTCTTGCGGTTTAAATAGCGTGGGTTCTTTTGGCAGAGATCTTATATAAATAAGTGCTCAGTTGTAGGAAGTATCACCTCCAACAAACATCTAATCTGTTTTAGTTCAAATGTGTGCCATTTATGAAAAATATGAACCCCCGGATATTTTGTCCAAAGCACAGATGACTCCCAAGGATGGGAAATGGCTTGCATCCTGGTGAGGTGTTCATGAATTTCCCTGAGGCCTCGTCCCTCTCCTCTGATGAAAATTTCATTTAATTAATTCCTTTAAGTAGAAACGGTCCAAGAAGGCAATGTGATGTAGTCTTGCCTTTTCTCTTACCCCCATCTTCAATTACGTCCTTTCTGCTTGGAGACCGAAGCGTGGCTGAAGTTGGCAGTTAATACAGGGCCATTTATGTTTTCTAATGTGATAAACAGTAATAGTGAAAGCCCTACTTTGTCTTCCTGTCTCTAAATGGCAACAATCACGGGAAGGCTATGTCCTGGGCAGGTGAGTTGTTGGGGCTCAGACTTTGACCACTCAGGGTTCTTTTCTGTTAGAAGTTCCATGGAAATTAAGTCTAATGCACTTAGTATGAGAACATGGGGAGAACAATTTATCTTAGAAAGATAATGATGCTTAGCCCGCCTAGTCTGTTAGTGAAGCAGTTTTACCTGACAGAGCCCTCCTGTTAATACGAGCGGAAGCAATGGGCTGAAATTTGGAACCTTGGTTTGGTTTCTCTTATTAAAATCTGTTAGAAAAAGCTTATTCAGCATGAGCTCTACTCCTGTTTTAATTCCCAGGAAGTAAAATATTTGTAATTCAACTGACATCAGTTGCAACGTGTTTACGCACATTATTAACCACACGGATTCCTCCTTCCTTCCTTCCTTCCTTCCTTTCAGAAAAATGTATTCTGAAAGACAACGTGCACATCATTAGTTCTTCTAGCTTCAAATTAGTCCATTAAAATATTTAAGTTGAGATAAATCATTTTCACAAGGTTTGCTTCAAATGTATAAAAATTTTTCTTTAAAATTATTCACTTATCATATATATATACATAAAATCAATCATTTTTATCATATATATAAAATAAATCTCTTTTTCATAGTGGTAATTTTTAGAATATCTGAAAATTCTCCATTCAGAACTGGATTTAGTATTGGCTTAATGAATAAACATGGCTTTCTTGTTTATTTTTTTAATCCACTAAGAATTTTACATAATGTGAAAACTGGATAATTACAGTGGAAACTTCTCAAGTCAATACTTATTGTTGGGATTAACAGAAACTGTTAATTACACAGAATTAAGTACCTACGACATATATATTAATACAATATATAAAAGCATATTTGACCCTGAATATTTCTCACATTTGTATTATGATGTTGCTGCTAAATCTTTCTTCTGATTCGTTGCTTATTAGACAAGAATGACAGCTCACTGCTTTTTGTATCATCACTCATCAGAGGAATTCTTTTTTTTCAACTTGTAAAAATATGGAATGCATGTCATCCTTGTGCGAGGGCCATGCTAATCTCTATATCTTTGCCATTGTAGTGTATGTACTGCTGGAGCGAGTACAATCAAAGGAAATCTTAACACAGGAGTCACCAATTCTCTCTAGTGTGGAAAAGTGTGAAGGACCAGCAAATATATGCATAATATTTATGATGAGTTCTGAGGTCCTTTGTTAAAATAGACACAGTCTTGCAGAATCTGGCGCAAACCTGAGTTTGATTCAGTTTTCCAGGCAATCCCTCTTTAATCTCATCATTGCCCTGAGTGCATCATGTCAGTTTGGAAGGATTTTGTTTGAACATCTTTAGCAGTTTTCATTCATTACAGCATCACAAGCTGACTAAGTACCGAGGGAGGGGGAACTTTCATTCAAGATCTGGGTCCCATTAACAATTATAAAGGTCAAAGGCAAGGTCAGTAGTGACATAAGGACTGTAAATATCACACATAACTGGAACATTCCTGTTTCACTCATGAAGGAGCAGTGGTGCAGACTAATGAGCGGGCATTCATAAACACTTCCTATGTGGGGATATCAATTACAAGAAATCTCTTATTAAAGCAGAAAGGAGACGTTGGTTCCTTTTATCTCAAAACTGCCAGCTGTACTAAATCATCCCCGTCAGCTACGGAAAGCAAGTGATTTTCATAGGTATCGAGCTCCACACCTTCCCTTTATGCTTCTAAATGCGGGCTTTACAAAAGAAATACTGTTCGATCCAGATGGCTCTCTCGAAGGCTCCCTGAGAGAACTCGGGAGAAATCTCTCCAGCCAAAAATATTGTTCCTACTTGTCCAAGTGCCAGAAAGCCCACCGCCACGCTTCCACACAGATCAAATAAACCATCTAAAGATTTGCTTGTTGTCTTTGTCATCTGAAAGAATTGAACCACTAATAGATAACAGTGTGTCCCCATTCCCGCCCAGCCACCCATCCCACCACCCACAGCCTTTCCCATCTATTTCTGAACAACAATCCGACCTGTACCCAGTGAATCCGGGTGAAAATGAAAGATGGGGCAGCAACGTACTTCTGCGATTCCTGGCAACTGCTTTTTCCCTTTGTGTGCCTGTTCATTTAGAGTTTTCGGAGCTATATGCTATATAATATCCACTTCAAAAAGTCCAGCCCTTAGGGAATCTGAGTGTGCCAATGATGACTTTATGACAAATTTGATACACACTAAATAACAATTAAAAAAAGAAAACCGCATTTAAAGCATGGTAGTGGAATTCCCATGCTGCTCTGAACTAGTCTTGTTTTTTAGAGGCAAATGGCCAGTCCAGCATTAAGGGATAAGAGGATTTTTGTTTTGTTTATTTTAGTTTTCATTTTCATTTTTCGTAGGTTGTGTGGTAACTTTAAATTATTGGCTTCATCTTTAATATGATTCAGTAAAGCCAATTCTTGAAGTATAATCAAGATAGCTTTACTCTGTATTTCTATTTCCCCTACATCTGAAAGCTTTTTTAAATATCTTATAGTCAGACTTAAAACCCAAAATAATGTTTGGAAACCACTCACATCCAAGTGGTTATAAAACTGTGACCACCATTCTTAAATAAAATAGTGCAAATATGGTTTCTGCTGGGTAGCAGTGAATACTGACACAAAGAACAGAGTGTGTGTGTGTGTGTGTGTGTGTGTGTGTGTGTGTGTGTGTGTGTGATATGTGCCTGTGTGTGTGAGTATTGTGCTGGTGTGCACTAGCATGTGCACATGTAGAGGCCAGAGGTCAGTATCAAGCATCATCCTTTCTCATTCTCTTATTTTTTGAAAGGTATTCTCTCACTAAGCCTGGAGCTTGCCATTTTGCTAGAGTAGCTGGCCAGCAACTCCCCCCGCGCCCCCCCCCCCAGTCCTCCCAGCTCCGTCTCCCCAGCACTGGGGATACCAGAGCCCACAGCACCCAATTTTTACATGGATGCTAGGGATCTGGAATCAGTTCCTCATACTTGTGCAAAAAGACCTCACCTGCTGAGCCTTTTCCTCAGACCCCAGATCGAATCTTAAAAGGATTCGCATTATAAACAAAATGTGAATGGGGTAGTTCAGATTTATTCACAGACCCCGTTCTTCTGACCTTGAGCGAGAACCAACAAGGAAGGAAGACTGGGACTCCAGGTGTTCACCAGACCCTCCCTGCTATCAAATCCCAGTGGACCCGCCCCTTTCTTCCCAGTCCTGTCCCGACCTTGTCCATCCACCCTGCCCTGGAAGGGCTTTTGGTTGGCTCAATTCACTCTAAACCCGCTCTCTACGCCCAAGGTAGATCTGAAAGGATCCCAGTAAGGCTGGAGAAGCTTCATGTGGCCCAAAGCTGAGTTTCGTCACTCAAATGGTGACTCCCGGCAAGGATACACAGGGCCAGGAAAGGGCCGCTTTGTGCCTTTCCTCCTCTTAGGCTCTGTCTGTAGACATGTTTGTGCGCCGCCGTGATTGCCTTTCCCTGGCTTCCTCTTTGTTTCCCATCTTATTTCTCGTCCCCTATCTGCACCCAACCCCCGTCGTCTC